GGGGGGGGGGGGGGAGGGGGAGGTGTCGCTTTTCATGAAGCCGATCTGTGTGTGTTATGCTTGAGGAGTGGCTGCATATGTGCCACGCGATTAACTCATCTGCGTATGCTTCTGTGCATGGTCTGAGGGTTGGAACAGAAACTTCATGGGTGTGAGTCGGCGATGAATTTATTGGTGCGCCTGACATGGAAGCAGGGATGGCTAGCTGGATGGATGGATGGATGGATGGATGTCGGTCGTGTCATCGAATGTGGATGAGAGAGAGGAGGGCTGCTTGATTGCTTGTACGCGCGAGCTGCGTCAGTTGCGTAGCTAAATGTCTCCCCTCCTTTGTCCCTACCTCGTACTGTGTTTTTTGGGCCAAAACCTGGCGGCCCTTTGTCGAGTGTGCCTGTGGGTGTGGGTGCGTGGGTGTGGGGTGGCAGTCATGTGTGTGATGCAATCGACAACTGACTACACGGGCCTCCTGCTGTGTTTTTTGGGCCAAATTGTGGCGGCCCGAGACCGCCGCATTTGTTACGTGGCGCGTGGAATGGGTATTCTCTGACTGCGAGAAAGACGAAGTAGATCGAAGAAAGACCGTTCACTGCAGAAAGACAAACAACTCACCAATTTAAAGCCGTCCTCCGGCAAAGGATGTGTCTCCGGCAACACATGTGTCACACTTGACGGAACAAATCTGTCCATCCATCCATCCATCAAGGCAATCAGTCCCTCCCCCACCACCACCTGTGCCATCCCTTTTTGCCATTCCTTTGCTTAGGGAAATGGGACACGGGACACGGGGGGATAAAGAGTAGGCAGTGATCTGCAGAAAAAATGAAGGCACGCAGACGAGCAGACACATGGAGACACGCACCTGGACATGATGAGCAGGTGTCCTCAGCACACCCGACAGACAGAGACAGCCTCAGACACCTTCCCGCCTCACTACAGCAGTCGTGCAAATGGGTCAATCACAGCTACCTACCAGGTAATATGTGTGCAGGCGAGTGTGTGTGTGTGTGTGTGAGTGGGTCACCGCATGCATTGGAATGCATATAAGAAAAATAGGTAGGTCACGGCGAGTAAGTGTAAGTCGTCTGACTCACTGCACTGCACACATGGACGCCCGCCACGGCAGCCCAGCAGCCAGCATGCCACTAGAAAGTCCCGTGCCAAGGCGCGTGTGTCCGTCACCCTCCCTCAACCAGCACGCCACGCGACCACGCCGAAGAATCCGCCACGGCACGCGATGCATGAATGAATGTCACCGCCTGTCTGTCGTGCCCTGAGTGTAAGTGAGTGAGTGAGTATGTGTCCGCCTCGCACATCCATCCATCCATCCATCGAACACATCGCATACACGCACAGCTGACCCTCACTTCAGCAGTCCCGTAGGGGGTCCTTGTCACCTGGGTACATCTCGGATACGAGTCGTTCTTTGCCTGTGTCTGGTGGGTCACCGATGTGCATTGGGGCAGCAAGTGATATGGCTGGTGCGAGGGCGGGAACAGGGACGTGGGCGCGAGCATCGGGGTCGGCCAGGGGGAGACCCGGCGCAGCATGTTGGCTGGATTGTTGCTGGGTTGGCAGGGGATGGGCTTCTTGGCGCGGTAGTCATCGCCCCTTCGCAGGTACCTGATGGACAGACACAGATGGATAAGGGTACGTCTGTTTGTGTTCCTTCTCCTCTCTCTGCTGACGTACGGGCTGGTGTGCGGCCACTCGGCCGGATGACACACTCAGACCTCTGGGCCTCTGTCTACGAACTGGACAGCGGAGAGCTGTCGGTCTGTCCCTCCGGACGTTGCAGGCGACTTCACAACTTATGCCGGTTGTAGGGCAGTAGTTCACCGCACGGATGCTTGTCGGTGTGTTGGTTGAAGTTGGTGTGTGTGTGGCACAGCCCAGCCCGCGGACACGCCACCGATGAATGTCTACATGTTGCGTTGTCGGTCGCCGCAGTGCCATGATCCTGCGGCTGCTGGGGCTCGTCATCGGCCGCCAGATCGGAGGCGCAGCTGACGATGGACGAGTGGCCTTGGTTGGTTGGTTAGTGTGTTTAACGAGACTCGTGTCTGTAACCCCGGAGGGATCCTGTTGTCTCACGCACTAAACTAGCAGCATGTACATGCCTTAGCTGTAGCTCATGCCGTGGTAAATTCATTCGGTCGTGCGAGCTTGGCATGAGGAAGCCCGGGGCTCGAGAGGATGCCATCCTGCTGGACGATCTGCCTCTGACCAGCCTAGATCAGGCTCTTTCTCTCCGAGAGAGCTCCGTTGGAGAGCTCTCTGTGTTTGTCGCGGGAAGACAGTCTTCCCTGTCCTGGGCCCTCAGCTGCGGTGTGCGTCATCTGTTCCGCCGACAACCCATTGCCATCTCTTTCCTTCCGCTTTTGTGTCGATTGCATCATCGCCTTGGGAGTCACTTTCTCTTGCCGTCGAGATGAAGCTTCAGATCTTTCTGTGCCTTGTCGGCCTCGCTGCAGTGCGCACTGCTGCCCCCTTCGACACCAACGCGGCGGCCACTGCGGCCGGCCCATCAGCTGCCGATGCCGCCACCAACAAAACGGTAGGCAGGCTGCCTGTCACTGTGCGTCGGTTCTCTCTTCATCTGCTGCTGTGAATGTGTGTGTGTGCAGTCAGTGTCCACCCCCCAGGAGGATCATGATGCCAGTCGTCTCGATAACAATGTGGGCAATCATCGCTGTGCTGATACATTTGTACTTGTGTGTATACGAATGTGATGTATGTGGCGTCCGTGTGTGTGCAGGTTGGTGGTGAGGGCGGCCACGGCGAGGAAAGCCGCCGCCGTCTGCAGCGCAATGAGCAAGTCATCCAGAACACCGTTTATCACTATGGCCCGTGTCACAGTGAGGTGCTCCTAGACGACGCAAAGAATCTAGCTCGTGAGGAAGCAGACTCACGGGGGGACGAATGGAACGTCCAGTCTGTACGGCTTGTGGGAGACCCCCGCTACATTCCGGATGATGGACGGGGGTCGTGCGAAGGCGACGTGGAGATCGTGCTTGTCAAGGTGCGAAATACACACACGGCGTACACGCAAGTCACTTGTTGTCATCGTGCGATTCGACTGACTGACCGTGTTTTTACTTCTCTGATATGCGTGTGTGAACAGGGGAGGGAAATCTGGGTTAGCAACAGCTGCAATGAGCCCGTCGACCTTACCCTCCTTATGAAGTCGTCGACATTGGGCGTGTGGGTCTGCCCGACCTGGACGATCCCTCCCAATGAGAGCGATTTCTTCAGGTCGAACGGCAAGCGTCAACGGACCGCAGGCACAAGCAATCTCTACTGGCACGCGGAGAGCGCTTATGACGGGTCGACGTATGCGGGGATGACGGGCGACCATATCAAAGAGTGCAACAGCTCTCCTGGTACGCGGGGGCGCTATCTGGACATGAACAAGGCAAGTGCAAGCAGGGACCGCAACAGCTACGGCAATTGGAGCCTTAAAATAACGTGCAATCGGCGCCTCCGAGCGGCTACAACCGACGATAATCGGGCTGATACCAGCTCGGTCGACGAAGCTTGAGACCACGTGGGAGCAAGGAAAGTGCGTGAAGTGTGTGTCCGGGGGGGGGGGAAGGGGCATGCACGTTGGGGGACACAGCTGTCTGTCTGTCTGCCTACTCCTCTTCTGCCTGCTCGACTGCACGTTTGATTGCTCGTTTGCTTACCTGTTTGTATGAGTTGCGAATGTAGTTGAGTATCCTCTCCCTCTCGCCTCTCGTGGTTTGTCTGGTTTTGGCCGAATGGCCTGTGTGTGTGTGTGGGTGGGCCTGTGGATGGGTGTTTGGTCGGTGTCGCATTTGATATGACTCGATCTCTGTGTGATGAGATGGAGGGACGGTTTCCCCTCGTGCGTTCTGTTGAAGGGCTGGAACAGGCAATCCCGCCTGTGCGTGCGCGCGTGTGTGGATGGATGGATGGATGGATGTGTGTATGGTGGCGCTCGTGTGTGTGTTCGGACCGTCCTGGCCAAATTTGATGAAGCCGATGTGTGTGTTCTAGCCTGAGGAGTGGCTGCATGAGTATACTGCACACGGTTTGTTCGTATGTGTCGCGTCTGTGCGTGGTTCAAAGATTGGACCAGACACTTTATGGGTGTGGAAGTCGTCGCTGAATGGATTGGTGGATCGATTGAATCATGCCTGCACAAGAGGCGTCCAACGAACAGCGAATGTCTGTTGACGACACAAATCTGTCCCATCCATCCACACAGTCCCTCACCTCACACACTCACACCCTTAGGCACAACAGCCAGCTGACAATGTTCCATGGAACACACACACTACACCCACAGCTGCCTTCCTCCTATCCCCCGCCCCTCATCCCTTCCACCCGAACAATCTCCCCGGTTTGTTGGCTTCCAAGAAGGAAGTCCTCTGCAGATGGCTGACGGCCTTCCGTGCCCTTTTGGCCGCCGGCTGCTGGGTGGCTGCCTCTTCTGTGCCGGCCTCCTCGCTGACGACCGTGATCTGGGGCCGCTTCGGCTTCGGGGGGGCCAGTCTGAGTGGTGTGGGGAGTGGTGTGTCCGGCGGGCTGGGCGGCGGGACGGCCTGTGGTGTGGAGGGGGGAGCGGGGGCGAGGAGGGGGCTGGGCCACAGGCTCACACGCCGCAGCAGGTTGGCAGGGTTGATGGTGGGCGGACAGGCAATGGGCCTCCCTTTGTTGTGGCCGGGGTCCTTCCGCAGATACCTGATTAGACAGACAGACAGACAGATCTGTCTGTCCTCTGTCTCACACACACACACACACAGATCCACACGTACGTGTCTGTGGTGCGGCGGATGTCAGCGTACAGCTCGGCGATGGCGGCCTGCCGTCTCCTGGAGAATCGAGTGTCCTATATGTGTGTGTAGATGGACAAAGAATACCAATCAACAAAAGGAAAGGCGTCACGCACAAGCGAGAATGGCTGTGGAGTGGTTTGGTGTGTGTCTGCAGACAGACAGTGCGTACCAGGACGAGATTCTCGCTGTGTGTCTGCCCAATCATCTTGTCCCACTGCCGAACAATACCCTCTCGTTGCTGCGTGGGCACACACACACACACACACACACACACGTGTGACACCGTGGGTGAAGTCACACACTGCGTATGTGTCTGTGTGGGGTACCCACCAGGGTCAGTAGTTGCTCTGTCGGTGTGGGCAGCATCTTGACTTTGCGCACCACGCCGCCACCGACAAACCTGTGGGCAGAGACGAACACACGGGTGGGTGGATGGAGGAATGTCGTGTTGCATTCTGCTGTCGGTACCCTCTGTTGGCCTCGAGAGCAGAGAGGTCATGCGGCTGGTCCGCAAACGACCACACAGACTCGACGTTGATGCCCCGTCCTCCACCACCTTCAGTGCGTCAGCAAAACACCCCCCTCTGCACACAGCAAAGCAGACACACACAAAAGACGCACAGACACACAGTGTCCTCCCTTGTGGTGATGTGTGGATGCATGGGCCCCTCTCTCATGTCACACACACCTTCCACGTGTAGGACAGTCGCGGGTCCGCCCGCCCGCACAGGTCGGCATGGCGGCGCGCCGATACGACGGGGATCTGGTTGGCGGTCAGAAAGGTCCGCACCTTCTCATACCCCGACTGTGCGAGGCAGGTCGTCAGCCTGCACACACACACACAGACAAATGTTTGCAGTGACACGTGTCACCAGCGTGTCACACACTGACCACCCAGGGGAGCCGTTGGAGATGATCATGACCCGCCCGTCCTCGTGTGCCCGCCGGATGACGGCCAGGGCGGCCTCGCCGCTCTGCAACGGCGCGGGGGACGGCCCGGCGTTGCTGAAGAAGGACGTGGGGAACAGTGTGTCGTCCTGAACAGATGCATTCAGTCCATAACATGCATGTGCATCCACAAACCATGGAGATCTTTTGTGGTTTCCGCCCCTCACCCAGTCGAATATGTACAGCTTGAACCCGCCCTGCACCATGGGAACCATCTGCAGCGCGGGGCTGGCCGCCAGGGTGCCCTCCCGTCCATGCGGCTGCTGGGGCTGCTTACCGCCGGCCGCCGCGGATTCGCCCAACATGTACACGCCGAACTTCATGAGGCTCGGCACGGCGATGCGTTCCCGCCTTGAGGGCAGACGGGGCGTGCCTGTAGGGCCGTGCTGTTGTCGAATGCGGAACGACGAGTGCCTTCTGACGGCGATGGACACTGCTGCTGGACGACCCAGCCGGTTGTCACAATTTGCCTTTGCAAATCACTCGACGCCGCGGTTTTCAGCTGACACCAGGGAAGAGCGCTGGGTTTTTCTCATCCCGATCTGCGAGCTGAGAGCTTGTGTCTTCGGGAAGGCATTCGCTGAACGGATGATTAGCACAGCTGGGGGGCTCACGTAGATGCCATTGTGCTGGAAGATCTGCCTCTGAACCGCCTCTTTCTGTCCTCTGCCTGCCGCCCTGCATACACACAGACAGACAGCTCATCGGCGACTGATCGGTGCAGGCATCGACCGTCATGACAGATCTCGACCGCCAGATAGAGCAGCTGAGGAGGTGCGAGTACATCAAGGAGGCCGAGGTCAAGGCTCTCTGCGCAAAGGCGAGAGAGATACTCGTCGAGGAGAGCAATGTGCAGCGAGTGGATGCTCCAGTCACGGTGAGGCGTGCAGCACGCAGGAGGGCGGGAGAGCCTCATTGCATTCTCCACTCATTGCCTTTTTCTGCGCGCGCACGTCTGTGTGTGACGTGTTCAGATCTGCGGTGACATTCACGGTCAGTTTTATGACCTGGTGGAGCTCTTCAAAGTGGGCGGCAACTGCCCCGACACCAACTACCTCTTCATGGGTCGGTCAACGGGGAAGGAGGGGCCGCCACGATGGGCACCGCGTGGCTCGTGTGGCTTTTGGGCGCGTGCAGGTGACTTTGTTGATCGGGGTTTCTACAGTGTGGAGACTTTCCTCCTGCTGCTGGCTCTCAAAGTCCGATACCCAGACAGAATAACACTCATCAGAGGTCAGTATGCCGACATGCGGACGCCCTCACATGCACATGGATATCCCGCTCTGCTTGTGTCAATGGATGGATGGATGGATGGATTGGTCAGGGAACCACGAGTCGCGTCAGATAACGCAGGTGTACGGTTTCTACGACGAGTGTCTTCGCAAGTACGGCAGCGTCAACGTGTGGCGGTACTGCACCGAGATATTCGACTACCTCTCACTCGCCGCACTCATCGAAGACAAAATCTTCTGTGTCCACGGCGGCCTGTCCCCGTCCATCAACACACTCGACGATGTGCATGAGAACCAGCATGCAACATCAGAACCCATGAATGTCCACGTGTGCGCGCGTGTGTGTGTTGGTCAGATCCGTATGTTGGACAGGAAGCAGGAGGTGCCGCACGATGGCGCCATGTGCGACCTCATGTGGTCAGACCCTGAGGGTAGGTACACACACACACACACGCACACACACACACACACGAGGGGAGCAAGACACACGGGCAGACGGCTGTTGGTTCTTGTGCCTCCCGTGTCGGTTGGGTGCAGACATGACTGGGTGGGGTTTGAGTCCTCGTGGTGCGGGTTACCTGTTTGGGGGCGACGTGGTGTCGGAGTTCAACCACCAGAACAACATACAGTGCATCGCACGGGCACACCAGCTGCAAATGGACGTAGGCGACCACAATGTACGTGTGGATCGGATTGTGTGTTATTACACCTTTCCACCCGTGTGGTGTAGGGTTACCGGTGGATGTTCAACAAGACGCTGGTGACGGTCTGGTCGGCGCCAAACTACTGCTACAGGTCACTCCACTCTCACCCACATCCACACTCCCACTGATACCTTTGCACAGGTCGATGTGTCGTGTTTGTGTGTTCAGGTGCGGCAACGTGGCTGCCATACTGGAGCTCGACGAGAACCTCCACCAGAACTTCAAGATATTCGAAGCCGCACCACCAGTACGCAATACACAGACACGCGCATCGCCCGCGTGTGCGCTTCTCGGGGCACGTGTGTGTGTGGTGTGTGTGTGTGGTTTGCTGATTGCAGGAGTCGAGGGGCGTGCCTTCCAAGAAGCCCGCACCAGACTACTTCCTCTGACGAGAGCTCGTGTCGTGTCGGCCCGAGATGGCCTGTTGCTGCTGTACAGATGCCAACCCACCCCCTGCTACCTTACCCCCTCCAGCCATCCATATGTACGATGATCGACAGCTGTTCTGTGTGCAGTAAAGAGCAGACACAGCAGAGAAAGCGCCACTCGCTCAGAGAGATTGATGGGTGTTGAGTTTCTGCTGCTTAGACGGATTGGTGTGTGCCTGTCTGTGAGTGAGAGGTACGTCGGCGCTTCTTTCGCCGGCCAGCCAGGTCTGTGTGTGTGGAATGGACTCCATTGGTCCACCGATGGACTGATTACGACGCAATTTGTGGTCAAAGCCTTCCTTGTATGTGTGGATGAGGCACGGATGAAAGCGAGTGCGTCAAGATGGCGCATGTGCCGACATCACATCTCTTCAGTCTGCCGCTGCAGCCAGAGCCACATTTCGGCCTCTTGCAATGGATTCGGCGTGACACAGCTGTGGCTTGAATCGCGCATCGCCTCGTGCACCCATGTGTGTCCATCCAATGGCATCCATTCATTCACTCATTCCTCCCTCCCTCACATGCATCCCGCCCATGACACAGCAACGCGAAAACACCAACACGCTAAATGTGCTGGTGCTCTGGCGTCGCTGAGCCATACGATATGCATGTGAGAAAGAGAAAGACATACCACGAATCAGTCTTCTTACAGCCCACTACAAAAGGCGTAAATTACGGATAGGCTGACACAGCCCACAGCCGCATCACTCAGCTGCGTGTATCTATTATCTATCTACACGAGTGGCAGGACGCCAAAAGGCGCTCTTCAAGTGAGAGCACACACGCAATCGATTCATTCACCCACGTGTTGTGCACAACCGTCCCACAACCAAGGAACAGAAAGCATTGACGTGTGTTGAGTGCCTTCACCCGCATCCCCCTCTTGTCTGCATCTCATGGGACATGGACATCTCAAAGCGACAGACACATTCACATGCTGTCACTCTAACGGACACACAGAGGAGAGCAAAGACGACACAGATATAAGTAGATACGCACCCACATGTGTGAATGGGCGTGTGGTTGCTACGCTGTTCGCTTGTCTGTCTGTGCGTCGGCAGTGTGTGACGTCTGCACATCAACCAGAGATAAGACCACTCTCGCGAGCAGGCGTACCACTCAGCCATCTCACAGACAGCAAACTGAACAGCACAGACAACATGACGATGCACACAGCAAGTGACACGACAGATCCAAGAACACGAGACGGATACGACGGCTCTCTGCAGCCAGCCATGCATTCACGCGACAGAGAAAGCGACTCACTCAGCTCAGGTCAGCAGCAGCTCACTCGACGCATCGGCCGATCTGCCTTCCATGAACACGACCGGCAGCATCCTGCAGCCTATGGCAAACTGGGCGAGGGCAAATTGGGCAAGGGCAGCAGAGAGGGAGGGGGCGAAGGGGGGCGGCGAGAGTGTTGACGCGCTTGTGAAGCCGGACTCGGCTGCCGGAGATCTTGCGGAGCTGTGGGCATCAGTCGCCACCGCTGTTCCACCACCATCTGCAGCACGCGCCACACACAGACGGCCAGATCACATGCGGCCAGAAATGCATCCCTCTGTACGCATCCGCACCTCAGCTGACGGAGGAAGGCTGTAGATCCATCGCCTATGAGCTCGCAACCCGAAAGGGTGGGTTGGTTGGGCATCCGGCAGCACGCTCTGCGTGCAAACCACCGCCCTCCAACCTGGGAGGCCTCCTCCCGAACAAATCCAGGGAACTGCCGGCGTGTCCGCCCCTTGGTCCCCGGCACAGGAGTTGGGGTGCTTCTAAAAGACTGCGGTGATCAGAAACCACCCAGTCACAGACCGTTCCTGCACGGGAGTGGTCTGCCGATGAAAGTGCGCGAGTGCGAGTAATCGGACGGCACAGTGCGGGAGCTGGTGAAGCGGTCCGTTCGCCAGCGACTTCCTCACTATAAACGAAGCCCAGGACCTGCACCGCCACCCGACACGCGGTGGTGACCTCCCCCTCTCTCTCGGCTACACCGCACCGCACCGCATCAGGAAGGTATGCACAGCAGACAGTGAGGCAGCCGACACGAGACTTGAATGCATGAGACCAGACATGTGCCCATATCGTTGTGTGTGTACTTGCTGTTGGTGCAGACTGCCGGCATTGCCAAGGCGACATACAGCCGCGGAATTAAGCAGCTCAATCAGCTGGTCATCGCCCACGGCCGAAGAAGTCCCCCCGCGACCTTGATGGGCGAGGGAGAGAGAGGAAGGGATGGCGATGTCGCTGAGCCGCTCCTCTGACGAGTCTCGCGACCCATCCAATCAGGGTCGGTCGCGAGACTCACAGGAGAGCGACTCAGCGACACACAGACATCCCCTTCCTCTCTCACGGCTCACATGCCGCGGTGTCGTCGTCCCCGTCTGACGATCAGCCAACAGCCGACGAACACAGCACAACAACCGCTCTGGTGCCACTGGGCACCACCACGTGACCCCTGCCATGCCATCCATCAGGGCACTGCATGAGTGCCGTGTATCCTGTGGGCCCTTCTTGAGCGCATTTGTGTGTGAGAGGGTCTGTGTGTGTGTATGTATGCCAGGTAGCCCCTGAGGTGTCGGCAGTCGAGCTGGCAGTGAAATCCATTCCTTCCTCTGCTGTTTGTTGCCTTATTCTATGCCCTTCAGGTCCCACTGACGTGCCTACGCTCAGCCGGGTCACTCGGCCTCTCCTCCAAGGCCATGAGAATTGTGGTGCTGCATTCAGAGCGGACAAGATGCCCTCACACCCACAGAGATTTCACGTTTGATGAGTGGGCGGAACGTCTGTCTGTCTGCGTGTGGAATGGACTCGATTGATGCACAGATGGATGGATTATGTATGACGGAATTTGTGGTCAAGCCGTATGGATATATTGTATTGTATGGGTGTTTGCACAGTCTGTCGTCATACAGCCCCACACCATCCATCCCTACACACCACATCTCTGCACGCCTCCAGTCTCACTCATCACACAGACTCTATAGACTCTACATCGGCGGATCGAAATCGTGTCAGACGCACGGACCATATGCACCGCCGCATCCGTGCAGCGCCGCCACTCATCCGCTCACACGTACATATACTCTATCCGCTGGATCGTCCCGCGGCACTTGGCGCACTGCCGCTCGGCAGCAGGCAGGGCTATCACCTGCTGGGCGCACGCCGCACACATGTACAAATGCCTCTGACACACACAAACACAAACACACACACACACACACAGAGGACGCACAATGAACATGGAAGGACGGCAGATCCTTCGCTACTCTCTCAGGCCGGTCGATTGACTTACACATGGGAAGACGGCGACCGACTTGTCGGCATCCAAACACACCGCACACTTGGTCGCTTCCTCTAACCTGCACACACACAACCCACAACAAAGGAAACAGGAAGGCATGTGAGAGCCCACGTCTGCAGCTGATGTGCATCGGAATACCTTTCCTTGAGTTCGTCCTTCTCCTTGCTGACGGCCCTCAGCCTCTCCTCGGCCTCGTCCAGGGCGCTCTGCACCGCCTCTTCGACCTCTCCGAAGTTCCCACGATCAGCAGTGTGGAGTGGGGCTGACGGTGGTGGCGGTGGTGGTGCAGGGGCCGCAGACGGGAAGAAAGGCGGGGCATCGGGATTCAGCCCACGATTGGTGGAGGGAGGAGGAGGGGGAGGGGGAGGGCAGAGGGGAGGGAGAGGGGTGAAGGGAATGAGATGGGGAGGAGGGGGCGGCCGACGCTGCCTGCGGATAGCCGTGAGGATGCTGTTGTATCGCGTCAAAGCGAATACCTCTGTGGGTCCGAGCTGGAAGATTGGCGGCAGCTGGGCAGACTGTCTGAGCGGCATGCGGATGTGCCACAGCCCCCTGACGCTGGCCAACGATGAGAGGCTCGTGTGCACGAAGGTCTCCCCCTCCTGTCTGCTCCATCTGTGACGCTCACGCTCTGTACAGATACACACAGACAGAACAAGTGCATCAGATGCGTCCGTGCGCTCATATCAACAATATCACTCCATTGCTGATCACTCAGAGTGACGACCACCCCTAGCTGCTGTATCTCGGGTATCTCGTCCCTCCTCTCGCCCCACGTGAATGGCGTCAGCTTTTCCACCTCCCTCATCTCTACATGCATGTGCGGGATGGTCTTGCCAGGTCCCATCTCCAGCAGCAGACCCAGCACCTCATCCGCACTCCCCTTGACGTGGAGGTTCTCCAGCTTAGGCATTGCATTCGCCAGCCATCCACCCGCCTCACACATGCGGTCGCCCACATAAAGGTCCGTCGCCTCAGGGAAGGCGCCGTGGCTGAGATGGCGCAGGAGGGCTGGCTGCTCGTAATGACAGGTGGCGGTTCCGGCCGTGTAGATGTAGACGCTTCTGGCGTAAGGGAACGTCAGTGCCGAGATGACGGCCACCTCGCCCCATTCTGGAGCAGTCAGCCGTCGGGTTTGGAGAGGACCCGGCGCAGAGCTGATGTCCCATTCGATGGCGTCTGCTTGGCTGGCGAGTTGCAGCAGGTTGTGGCGACTGGGGCGATCTCCGGGGAGGCTGATGGACAGCCTTCGCGTGCACGAAAATGTCAACCGCCGGTTTTCGTATACAAATTTACGCAGCCGTTAGGTGCGTTTTAAAGCTCAGCCAAGAGAAGGAGAATCCACGAGCCTCACAGAGACAAGCGTCACATACACACCATGGGCGGCGAGTCAGTGAGCACCGCGAGCACCACCAACGGGACCACCCCCTACTCAGTGCCGGCTGGTGTGGCCACCAAGGCGCAGAACATCTACTTCCACGAGGGCAACCTCAGCCGCGATGAGAGGGAGGCCCTCATGGGACACAAAGGTGCCACCATTTGGATGACCGGACTCTCGGGGTCAGGCAAGTCTACCGTTGCAGTCGCCTTCGAACAGGTCAGCCAGGGAGGGGGGGGGGGATGCAGAGGAGGAGGGCAGCAAGCACCGCCGCCTGTCGATGCTTGCCAACGGCACCTTTTCGTTCTGTGTGTTGTGTGTCCAGGTGTTGCATCAGCGCGGCATCCACGCGTACCGTTTGGACGGCGACAACGTGCGTTTCGGCCTCAACAAGAACCTCGGCTTCTCCGCTGAGGACCGCGCCGAGAACATTAGACGCATCGGGGAGGTCGCCAAGCTCTTTGCCGATGCCGGTAGGTAGGCAGGGAGGGAATGGAGGGAGGGAGTAATGGACAGACGCACAGCCACACGCCACTGCTGGTCTCCTCTCTGTGTGTGTTGGTTGGTGGCATAGGTATGGTGGTGATCACGTCGTTCATTTCTCCCTACAAGGCCGACCGCGACGCCGCCCGTGAGCTGCACAAGGCGGCCGGCCTGGCCTTCTACGAGGTGCACGTCAACTGCCCTCTCGAGGAGGCCGAGAAGCGCGACCCCAAGGGCCTCTACAAGAAGGCTCGCGCCGGTCAGATCAAGGGCTTCACCGGCATCGACGACCCCTTCGAGGCGCCCGAGCAGGCCGAGATCGACCTCAGGACCGACCAGCTGTCCGTCGAACAGGCCGTTCAGGTCAGTCAACCAGCCACACGACAGATGGCAGACGTGTGTTAACTCTCGTGGTGTTGCCCGTGTGTGTGGGTCAGGTGATGTTGGACAAGCTGGAGGAGGGCGGCATCCTGTCGGCGGCCGGCTCCCAGGTCTAAACGACCAGGACAACACACCCACACGACACCAGAGGGGCCACCGAACACCTATCGCATCACACGACTCTGCTCGAGAACAAGAGAAAAGGGGAAAGACAGGAGGGAGGAGAGGGAGCGAAGGCGAGAGAGAATTATTCGTGTTTATCGCTGTGTGTGTGTGCGTGCATGGGTCTGTGGCTTTTCAGGGGTGTCGATAGATACGTATACTACATGTGGGCTCAGCTCTGCTCGATCAGAAAGTGGTTTGATGCGTGCCTTTATCACACGTACGAGTGTATGATGGGGTACCACGAGCCCGATGTCCGTATTTCCGTGGCTGTCGTGAGCGGTAAATGGTGCCACATGGATGGGGGGAGGGGGGCGAAAACGCCTAATTCTTTATCGGCGTGCGTCGTCCCTTGACTCTCGACGCGTGTGTCCGTCGCTCTCTCTCTCTCGTGCCCTGTGTGTATGTGCACGTCAGTGAGTGGATGAGCATAGCGTGGCATTGCGTAGCGCTGGGTCGTGAGGGTGGGTGATGCTCGTGGGCGAAAGCGTGACGAATGAATGCGATTGCGTCGTAGATGGCAGACAGACGTGACGGACACATGTTATGTACGTCTACTGTTGACGTCCAATTCATCCAAGTCCCCACGAACACACACATACACACACACACACACATCCATCAGTAAAAGTCGCCCTTCTTGGCCTCTGCGGTGCGAAGCCTCTCGGCGATGTTCTCCTCCCTGACGCGCTTGTGTGAGATCTGCACCTCCCTGATGCGCTGCTTTATCAGCTCAGTGCGCTCGTCCGCATACCCTTCCAAGCGCTGGTACCTATCACACACAAAGCACACAGCATGAGAGGCACGTGCACGTGTGTGGAAGGTGAGCTGTGTGTATCTGTCTGTGGACAGGACAGACCTGATGTCTTGGCTGAGTTGTTGAATGAGTTTGTCGAACTCTGGGCCGTCCTCCTTGGACGTGTGTGTGATGAGGGTGCAGCTCTTGAGGTACTGACGGAAGGCATCCTGGTACTCCTTGGCCTGATGTGTGGATTCACGGATGCATCGACACACAAGACGACGGTGTGCTGACCAGTGGGTGGGTGCCTGCCGTGTGGATGCGTACCTGCATGGCCCTCCACTTCTCGTACTCGTCTGTCAGCACTTGCTCAGGCATGTGCTGGAACCGCTTGTCGCTCATCACACTCAACGCATCCATCGCCTGACAAACACACGGACAGATCGACCGCAGCAGACACACAAACATCTCAGGCCATTCCCCTGGTGATTTCTCTCCCGTGGTTCGCACCTCTTTGAACGTCATTGATGGTGAGATCTGTGTGCTCTGCTGCAGCACCAGAGACAGCAGCTTCCGACGCTCAGCCAAACACTGCCTGATGGACAAAGATAGAGACCGCAGGAAACGCACAGACGGGTATTTATGTCACCATGGTCGTCTGGCTGTACATCATGCTCACTTCTCGAACATATCGAAGAGCCGTTCCTTGTCTTGCTGAGAGAGCAGATCTGACGAGTCTCGGGGGTCGTTCGCCAGCTGACTCGACACGTCAGCATACCTGAACACACATACGTCCCTATCTCATTGAGCGGGCACCATAGCACGCTCACTTTTTGCCGAATGGGTTCTTGACACGTTCAGCGAGCATGTTGCGGAAGCTGCTCTCAGCCTCTCCCTTCATCAGCTTCTGGCGCTTCTTGTCGACATCGTCGCCCTCGTCCTCCTTGCCAGCCTCATCCTTGCCCCCCTCGCCCCTCTCCCTCTCCCTCTCGCGCTTCCGGCCATGCGCACGGAAGAACTCACCGCACACCTGATGGATGGATGGAAGAGTGCATCACACAAGTGTTCGTGTTTCTCTTTGTGTGGTTTGTGTGTGCCGCTAACTCTTTCGAAAATGTCTTCACGCGTGGCCGACGTGACGGCGCTGTACCTGGGGTCGTCGCGCAGCCCCTGCTTGACGCGCTGCCACCGGGGAGGCTCGACGCGAGAGACGTCTGTCTCTCTGCGGCTTTCCTTCTCCCGTGACTCAGTCTCTCTCTGCACATATGACTGCACACAAGGGGAACGACCACAAGAGAGGGGGGTCGACAAATGTGTGTGTGCGTGGTCGTATGAGTGTGGCTCAGTCACTTGTAGGAACTCGTAGATCATGTCCCTGAACGCCTTTCGCGCCGCCTCCCGCCTCTCCTCGCGAGCCTTCTTGCGCACATTGATCCTGGTCGATGGATGGATGACACACAGATGGCTGTTCGGTGGCTGGCTGTTCCCTCCTCCCATCCATGCACAGCATGGCATCCATTCATACCTCTCCTGTACGAGTGTGCGTCGTGTTTTCGAGTCCATGGCCTTCCACCTGTGGTCGTCCTGGTACCGAAGTGCGACGGTCTCGACGGTGCTGGAGGGGTGGATGTCGTCACGCCGCTCGGCCTCGTCCAACAGCTCCACAAACTTGTCATGCACCTGCAAGCACACACAGGCAGACAGAGGGCTGGATTGATGGTTCTGTTGGTTAGCTGGCTAGATGGATTCCTGACCTCCTTTTTGGATTTGGTCCTCTGTCTTCGTTTCTCCTCAGCGATCTCCTTGATGAACTTATCGTACATGATGCGGCGCTGGTCAGTCGACACGGCCGTGAACCGACTGTCGTACATGAGCTTGGGCAATGCCTGCACAAACACACACACACACACACACACACAGAGAGAGAGAGAGAGAGGGATCCTGTTTTGTTTCTCTCTCCCACTCTGTGCAGTGTGTGTGGGTAGGGATGCTTTACCTTGTCGTACGGCGGAATGCCTGTGATGTTGATCTCCCTGAGCACGTCCTTGAAGTCCTCCACCTTCTTCATCTGCTCAATCAGACGGCGCTTCTCCTCATCCAACTGATACCCACACACACACACACACACACACACATAAACACACACCAAAGGCACCTGCACGACACGCCGGCCTGTCTGTGTGTCTGCCTGCTTGCCTGTTGTTCGTCGTCGGATTCTTCCTCGTCCGAGCTTTCCTCGCCCTCCTCCTTCTCTGGCGGCTCCCCGCCCTCACCAGCCATCTTCTCATCGCCCACATCGTTCTCACCACCGCCCTCCTCAGGCTCTTTCGCCTCTCCCTCTCCCTCACCGTCCCCCTTCTTGTCGGCGTCCTGCTGGGCCTCTCCCACCTGCTGCTGTTGCTGCTGCATTTCTTCCTCTGTGGGTGGGGGGATCTCGCCGTCGAGCTCCCTGACGATGGTGAGGATCTCATCAGGGCACGCCCACCTGCTGACGTTTGTCTCCTTGTTGCGGAAGTAGGTCATGCCATTCTCGCCGGTGATCCGCAGCCAGGGGGTGTTGCCAATCGTCTCATACTCGAGCACCTCACCAGCCGCCTGCATACACGAGGGAGGGGAACGCACATGCACCTGACGCATCTCCCTCCCTGCCTCACTCACTCACTGACCTGTTGCGGGTTCGTCCCGGCCACCACGACCACGTCTGTCTTGCCAGCCGGCCGCACCCACCGTGACTCCTTGCTGGTTGGGCAGTGGTAGTACTTGTGCCCGTTGGGCGCCAGATGCTCCTCCCACACCACCCGCTTCTCCACAGGCGGGGGCGGCTCAGCGAGGGCCGCCGGTGAGGGCATAATCACGGGCATGATAGGAGGTCCCGGGGCAATGATGTGTGGTGGGAAGGGGATGGTCCCCGGCGGCCTGTGCATGGACATCTGCATGTGCATCATGAGGTGAGGGTGCATCATGTGAGGGGGGATGGGAGGGAGCAAGGGAGGCCGGCCGGTGGACACGATGCGCGGCTGGTAGGCAAGTCCAGGTTGAAGAGGAATGTCGCCCTGGGCTGATGGGTAGACAGGGGCGGCCATTGAGTCGCCTGCCTGGCCTGTTTCTGCGCTGGCGGCAGGTTGCTGTGCGGGCTGTTGGGTGGCGGCAGCAGGCACCATGCCTGGCGGACCCATTCCGGGCGGAGGACCATCTGCACACACACACACACAGATCTCATGACAGCACCCATCCCTTCTGTCGCCCTCCTTCCCCCACACCTGATGCAGTGACAACCGTCGGCTGGTGCTGCAGTGCCGCCGCAGCCGTATCGGACGCAGCTGCGGGTGAAGCACCAGCAGCGGGCAGCGGAGCGTCACCAGACGGTGTACTGAACACAACACACAATGGCAAATGGACAAGCATCGGCATGCAGACAAATCATCGCCTGGCTACCGACATCTATCTCTACAGATGCACCTAGTGTTTCACCTGCTCATGTGCTTCCGAACTTCGACACGATATGCTGCGAATCAATATTGATCTGATCCGGCAGCGCCTGCAGCTCAGCCAGGCCTCTCGCTTTGCGCAAAAGAACAGAAAATCTGCCCTGCGCTTTCAACTCACGCAGCAGCGGTTTCAGGGAGCACCCTAGGTGGCCTGACGGCCAAGTCCCCTGTCGGTCTGTCCAACATGAAAACAGGCACCCCAACATGCAACCCGGACACGAAACACGCAGCACGCAGAGGGCAGATGCAGCAGACAGGCTTTCAACTCAGCTCGCAGATCTGCTAGGGTGCTCCTGTGAAACCGCTGCGGTGCTGAGCGGAAGCGGCGGAGAAACTGATCAGGACACACAGAAACAGACGACCCTACTCTGCCCTGAGCACCTTACACTGAGATCTGCTTCTCTGTTTCTTCTTTGCTGCTCTCGAGCCACTGGTGACCTTGCTTGATTTTGCGACTCGAATTGCACAGTCATGTACGGCACGGTGCTCTTATGCGCTCAGAACATGGTGCGAAGACGGAACACAACACAATACATACACACAGGGCAGAAATGACTGTCTGTGTCATGACGTGTGTGGTGCAGGCTGTGAGCGGCGCGAATCAGGTGCTGCTCAACATCGTGGAGGGCGGCCTCTTCCAGGGACAGATACTCCTGCTGTCGCCATCCAGAGGGGTGGGCAACCACATTGCAACTCTCATTGACTAATGACCGATGAGTGTGTCTGACTGTGTGACAGCCATTTGAGGAGTTCTTCAACAAGCATGGTGTCGGTGTGGTCATCGGCACACTCGACACCGTCCTGCAGAAAGCGAGAGATATCAGATATGCCGTACGAATGCACTCATTGAGACGGCGTGGCCCATTCACTCACTTCAGTTTCGGCCGCCGTCCGCCCGTGTGTGTGCGTGAATGATTAGGTGTGCAACACGATCATGACTGCCCACATCGTGTGTCGGCTGGCGGACCTCAACATCCCTCACTTCTGGATACTGCACGAGTGGTGGCCCCTCGATGACATGTACACGCACACACACGACACAAGCAGGAGAGAAGGCCATCAAAACACACGTTCTCCTTGCCGCTGTCAGGTTGCCCGATGAGCTTGCGAAGCGGAATGTGAAGTTCATGGACACCAAGACGGTGCGGCAGGCCTTCAAGGTCTGCAACTGTGTGGTCAACGTGTCGCACAACCAGAGGGCCATGTACGGGCTCAAAGACGCCGACAACGCCGACGTGGTGCATGTCGGGGTGCCGCCGCCCAACGACGCGACGAGCTTTGTGGAGGCCAAGCTGTCGACGGCAGGCAACAAGGAGGAGATGATCATACTCGTACAAAACCCATCCACACAGACGTGCTGCCTCAATGTGACTTCCCTCTGTGTGTGTTGTGCTTGTGTGTGTAGGTGTTGGGCATCGTGTGTCCGCGGAAGAATCAGCACACGGCCGTGCGCATATTCAAGAAACTCGCCGGCGACAGGAAGGTCAGCCAAGCAGCAGGCCAGCTGCACGTGCCTCGAGTATGCACACGTGTTTGTGTTTGTGTGTGGTGTGGTCAGGATGTGCGTCTGGTGATAGTGGGTGCCCGTTACATCCGGGACTATGAGATCGAGTACGTCGAGCAAGTCAAACAGGAGATTGGAGGTCCGCACACAAATGACACAAAATGATACACACAACTGACCACGAGTCTGTGTCTGTGTCTGTGTCGTGTACGTGTCAGACGACAGCCGCATTGAGCTGCACGAGGTCACCAAGGAGCCTGACAGGTATCCACACACACTCACATCGCCTCCCGCCACCTCCCCGGCCATTTACTTGTCCATCCGCCATACATGCAGGTTTTATCGCCGAGCCGACGTGTTGCTGGTGACGTCACTCAACGAGGTGACGCCCATGGTCATCCCCGAGGCCATGATGCGCGGCCTGCCAGTCGTCACGACCGACATCGCCGGCATCCCAGAGATGCTCACACACGGCACTCACGGATTCGTATACCCACCGGAGCAAGAGGACTCCTTTGTCGAGGTGCGTGCCTTTGTCTGTCAGGCCGCCGTGTGATCTCTCTTTCTCACGTGTGTCTTTCTGTTTGCACCACCATGTAGGCGTTGTCAAAGCTGGTGGATGACCCGCAGCTGCGGGCAGACATGGGCAAGGTATGCAGGAACGGATTGAGATAGCAAGTAGACCGCACCATGAGTGTGCTGTGCTGTGTTGCGTCGTGTTTTGTTGGTTGGTCCAGCGTGCGTCGGAGCATGCGATGGCCACTTTTGCGCTGAGCGTCATGACGTTTAAGTACTGCAAAATCGCCCTTTCCATCTCGCCAACCATCATACTCATCGACATGGACGGTATACAGGCAGCCAGACAGGCAGGCAGGCAGGCAGGAAGCAACCACATCGAGACACAGAGACACATTTGTGCTGTGCTGTGTGGGCATGTCAGGAACATTGGTTGACTGGGACGCCGGATTCTATGCGCATTGGAAGGACCGTTCGAGTGTGGACCGGACGGTGTCATACGCGATGGAGGAGTGCGTCCCCAAGAACTACAGACAGGAGGCCATGGACATCTTCCACTCAAAGGGCTTCTTCCTCAACCTCCCTGTACGCACCCCTCTCCTCCATTCAAAGCAATCAAACAGCGTCCATCCATCCATCCATCCATATCTATCTCTGTGTGCAGCCGTACCCTGGTGCGATTGAGGCGTTGAAGGCGATGACGGCCGCGGGTTATGAGGTGTGGATAGCCACCAGCCCCATCAAGACCAGCCACTACTGCGCCCAGGAGAAGCTCGAGTGGGTCCTGAAACACCTCGGCCAAGAGTGGATCGCCAAAACCATACTCACACAGGTATGGTAGGCTCCTACATAGGGCACCCGCCACGTGCCGCGTGCGCACAGCACGTGGTGTTGTGTGTCGGTTTCTTTCTCTCTCTGTCAGGACAAGACGGTGTTGCGTGGTGACTTCCTGATCGACGACAAGCCTTTCATCAAGGGGGCACAGCAGGCACACTCATGGCATCAGGTACGCACAATCAGCACACACACTCACACACACACACGCACACGTCTTCTCACCTCCACCTCTGCTCTGTCCTCCCCTCCTCCCTCCCCTCCTCCCTCCTGTCTGTCTGTGTCTGTCAGATCATATTCGACCAGCCGTACAACGGGCATCGGGGCGACCTGAGCCGCATGTACCGGTGGACAGAGTGGCAGGAGGTGCTGGACGAGGCACTCAGCCAAGTGGCACACCTCGACGACGTCCCCTCCTCACCACCCAAGTCACCCCTCTCGCCCTTCTCACCCGACGCACTGGTCAGATGAGTGGATCGATGGACGGATGGGTGTGGCGGATGGCTTCATCTGTTATGCTGTGCTGTGCTGTGCTGGTAATCGACAGAAGTGGCAGAAGTTCAAGGAGGAGGTCGACGCGCTGCCCGACTTCTCGTCATACCTCAAGGGGGTTGATGAGTGGAGGAAAGACTACACGTCATGGAGGACCGGTACGGTGGACACACACACACGGCAAGACCGGTGTGTGTATGGTGCGTGAATGTGTGTGTGGTTGAATGGCTGCAGGCAAGGGCCAGGGCGCCAAGGGTGACGTGCGCGATGTGCTCAAGTCGATTGAGAACATCAAGCGCGAGATGGCCCTGCTCAACATGGACGAGACGCAGGGAGACCCCGCAGAAATGCACATCTTCAGGAAAGGTAAAGACGTCCACACATCCAGAGAGAACAAGACACCCACCACACACACACAGGTGCATCCATGATGGTCACGATTGTGTGTTGGTCATTTTTGATAGGCTACACGCAATGGAGGCGGGGCAGCCCTTCCGGTGCTCGCGGCGGGCCACTGGGCTAGCTACACAGACCTGCACATCTGCCACATACAATGGTTTCATTTTCTCGTCGACGCATCCATCACTTTCTCTGTCTCTGTGTGCCGGCGGCCGAGTAGACACAGAGAGCCTCGATCACACTGCATTCGGTGGGATGTCTGGCGGTTTTGGACTGACCTGACTCGTCGTGTCGTGTCTGTCTGTGTCTGTGTCGTGTGTGTCGTGCATGTTGGATGGATGAAGGATTTTTGATGCCCTGCTGAGCTAGACATGGAGAGACGGCGGGGGCCTGCATGTGCGTGTTTTGTTCATCGAAGGATTGTCCAGAGAGACATGGGGAATGATTTTGCTGCATGGCATGTGCGGGTGTTTGTGTGCGTCCTCTTTTCCGTGCGAGGAGCGTCCTGTGGGCTGCTGGGTTGTCTTGTGCCGGTGGTGTGTGTGGGTGGGTGCCACACACTGCAGTGCAGCTGTCGCCCACGTGTGCTGTGTCCATTCTCATTTTCTCGGCTGATCGTCTCCGAAGGAGCATAGCACAGCGTTCCACTACATCGATCCTTTTGCTTGTGCGCTTCGCATGGTCCGTTCACGTTTCCTTGTTTGTTGTTTTGTCATGGCTCTCCCTGGGTCACCGCTCTCGGTGCCGCCCTGGGTAGCGCCGCTATCGCCAACGGCCACACGTCCCCTGGGTAGACGGGAGGGTGTGTGTGCGGTGACGGTGGCGGGTGCGATCCACGCGGCAGCCAAGATTGGCGACGTGAACGAAGAGAAAGAGCCCCAACTGAATGAATGAATGACTGGCTGACTGACTCGCTGATTGCAATGCCGTGTTCCATGTACATAGACCAACCATCACATTCATACAGACATACACACACACATTCATGCCGTGAGAGGGGAGGTGAGAGGGGAGGGAGGGAGGGACGCACCTGGTAAAAAGAGAGATCCATCGCGATTTCTTGTGTTTCTGGTGCTCACACTGACATGCATGGATGTCCACGGACGTATGTGTGTGTGTGGGGATCCATCCTGCTTGCAGTTGGGTGTGAGGGTGGGTAGGACTGTTCATGCCCTTGATGCCACGCCCGTCGAGGCTTATCGTACACCGTGAGGACGCGTCTGTGGATGGATGTGCGAACGTCTCAACGGTCTCTACATCACATCGCTGTCTTTCGAGCCTGAACACACTCCCCACATGAGCATCCCGCCACTGCAGCAGAGATATCCGCCACCATGTGCAAGGCGACAGACATAGCTACTGCACATGAAGCTGTAGATGTCAGAGAGCGTCACAAGACTCCATACACAACAATACTGCACAAGAAAAGGCACCCGACCAACAGCATGAAGCAGCCATGAAACCAATGAAAGAGGCAGCAAGCAGCAAGAGGTCATTCCTTCCTGTGTTGTGCCTGTCTGTCAGCCGCCGCCCCGCCAAGGCACGCAGTGAGTGACAGGCCTCACTCACTGTGTTCCTTGACAAGAGGGCGGCTAACAGCCAGCGCAGCAACACGCACCACGCGGCCACACCAAGGAAAGCACCAGAGAGAAAGAGAGAGAGAGAGAGAGGGACAGAGAGAGAGAAGGCGTCATCTGACGTCTCGGTTGTACTTGGTCATGGTCTGCCGTATCATCCGCATCATCTCGACATCCTGACACCAAAACACACACACACACACACACACACATGCTGCCTCCCTACCCGGCTGGCTGACTGACTGACTGCCTGACCTTCTTGTAGTCGTATGTCCTGGCCAGCGCGTCCTCGGGCAGCGTGTCCTTCGGGCCATCGGCCTCTGCACAAACAAACGCACACGCAGGGGGAAACAAGCGGCCATCCATACCTACTTTCTGTGTGGGTGTGAGCCGCCCCCGTCTCACGTACTGTCTTCATAGTTGATGATCCTCCGTTTCTGCACAAAAACAGGTCAGTCGTATCGCACCAAGCCTCAGTGTGTGTCTGGCTGGTCAACGCTTATCCGTTGTCGGCCCACCGATTCTGGCCATGGGATGACGGTCCCTGTCTTCTTAGAGATGCGCACTGATACATAAGGGGGGAGAGGAGGGATGCTTCCGATCAGAAACCATTTGCCCGCCATCTCACCTTTCTGCCCGTCATCAGTGTACCGCAGTGCCACTCTCGTCGTCTCTCTGCAACACACACACACACACAGATGCAGAGATCATGGGCGTATCGACCGCTTGGCGGGCAAGTGATGTGTGGACCTGAGGACAGGGTCGAGGAGCAGCACATTGGAGTAGTGGATCTTCTTCTCAATGTAGATCCACTTGTTCTGCCAGAAGATCTTCCGCTGAACACCAGACACACACACACACACACGGGCGACACAGGGTCAAGAAACCATGGAGGCCTTGCCCGTCTTCCCTTTTCCAAGCTGACCAGGTTGCATCCCTTGACCTTGACCTGGTTTCTGAGCGCATCGGTCGCCAGCACCTTGCCCGTCTTGCCCTTCTCCTTACCCATTATCACGCCAACCTGAACACACACACACAAACATGCACTCACTCACTCCCACCTGAGTGGTGCACCACCCCGCTGGTCCTTCGAATCTCTCACCTCATCCCCCGGTTTGATCTTCCAGTGTCTGATGATGTTGCGCGGCTTCACCATCTTCGGGCCGCGGGCATCCCACCGCATGTAAGGGGCCGCGCCGGGATGAATCAGGCAGACTGAGAGGGCGGGGTGGGCAGATGGCGGGGCTGCCGAGGACGTGGCTGAGGCCGACAGGCATCCTGCAGTGGCATCAGCAGCACTGCTCGTTCCTCTCACGCCTCTCGTTGCAGCACGGAACATCGGGCAGTGGCAGCAGCAGACGGTCAGTGGCACACGGCGGCCTCTCTCGCCCGCTCGTGTGCTCTTCTCTCTCCACGCTGGGGGACTTAGCTCGCAAGTGTCGCAACAGTGGCAGACGAAATGGCGTCAGCGATGGTCCCAGGAACTGCCATTGAGTCAGCGGAGAAGACGCCGGCCCTTGAGTTTGATAGATGCAAGCCCACGCGTCGCCGATGAGCGCCACCGCTGCTGCAGCAGCATCAGCATCGGAAGCATCAGCACAGGCGACGTCTGCTGCTGCTGCTGCAGCTGCTGCAGCTGTTGGGTCTGCACCATTAGCCCAGGTACGAATGCACCATCACCATGCATCGTACTTGGACGGACTCCTCTGTATCGTGTTGCTGCCTTGGCCGACCAGCAGCCACCTGCCGACGCCCCTTCTCGCACGCACGACAGCCGCCCACACTCTGTCGGCTGTCGCCTCATCAGCCGCCCTGATGGCGTCGCCCTGTCAATCGCAGCTGCGGCCTCATCAGCTGCCTCTGGGGCGGCACCAGCGGTCGAGCAGACGACACCAGGGATGGTCCTGGCGGGGCTGCTGGGGTCGCAGGAGCACCAGCCGCAGCTACAGATAGAGGAAGGGACAGTAGATCGTCCGGTAGGTACACATTGACGCACTGAATGGGCAGCCAGACACTCTCACATGGATCCATGTGGGTGCCCTGCTTGGTCTCACATGTGTGCAGGTGTCAGGTCTCACGCATCTCCCCGTCAGCTCGCCCCCTCTGCCCGCCGCCCAGCCGCCCTCTCTGCACGAGGCATTCCCACCACCACCACCAGCAGCGTCATCAGCAGCTGCATCTGCATCAGTATCACCATCAGCATCACCATCACCGGCAGTGGCTGAGCGGGCGCGGGACGTGCTGCCTCCCGCCGGAGGGATACTAGCTGAGGTATGCACGCATACAGGCAGAAGAGAAAGGCGCCGCATTCATGGAAGCGCTTTTTTGCGTTGTTTGATGCAGGACCGTGACATTGGGGGGCCCGCGGCTGCAGCGGCAGCTGCTTGGGAGGGGCTGTCGAGCGGCATGGATTTCCTTCTTGAAGCGGCGGACCCTCCAGGTGACAGCTTGGAGGCTGCGCTGTACCAGATGGAGCACATGATAGGTAGACAAGGCAAGACAAGGCAAGCCACACGCTGGCAGCCACACCTGTCGTATGTATCTCGCCTCTGCAGAGGGTATCATTCGTTGCTGCGGGCCCCCCCAGATGGCCAAGACGCACAGCAGGTAATCCCCTGTACAGAACCGGGATATATCCCGATACAGATCATCTGTGCGCTGTTCCTCGCTCACAACAGGCGGGTCCGAGCATCACTGGACCGGTTGCTGGGGGACCTCCAGACATACACACACTACTCCATGTAAGTAGACGGATCAGCGAGCGTACGATGGACGTAAAAAGTCAAATTTCATCATTGCATCAATCAGGTGTCGGCTTCTGTGTCTGCTGCTGCTTCTGCTGCTGCCGGCCTCCTTCACGCTCAGCCGTTGCCGTCCTCCGCCCACCAAGAAGGAACGCTCAACATGCCCACTCACCCCCGCCCACCGCACCGCCCCCCATTCCGACCACCCACACCCTTCGCGTCACACCGCCCTGCTGTCGTGCCCTTCGCCAATGCGCCGATCGCTCTGCGGCCTCGATCCTCGCTTGGCCCCGGCGTGGGCCGCCCCGCACTCACCCCAGCACAACCCTCACCACCACCACCAGCATCAGCAGGGGCGTCAGCATCACCGGCAGTGGTGGAGCTGCCACCGAGGGACGGGCCGTCGCCGGTCGGAGGGATACGGGATGAGGTATGCACGCATACACGGGCCGAAAAGAAATGGCCCGCATTCATTCATGGATGCGTTTCTTGCGTCGTGATGCAGGAGTGTGTGGGCCCGGCGTCGGCCGAGTTGCAGTCTCTGCACACGATGCTCAGGAGCTTGGCGACTGCGTCTGGTCCTGTACAGGCTACCGGCTCCAACGCGGCACTGGATCAGATGGGCCTCACGATAGGTAAGCCAAAGCCAAGCCGGCGGTGCGATGAGCTGTCTCATACCCTCCCTGTCCCGGTGTCTGTGCAGCTGGCATGGCGGAGAGGTGCACGCTCACGGGGCATCAGAACCTGGTACATAGAGCAATAGTAATCCAATCAACACATGCAGCCCTCGGCCCGCCATCTCTGTGTCGATGTGTGGTTCACTCACTGCAGACTGGCGCGGCCACGGCAGCCATCGCCGCGCCATCGAACGTGCCTGTAAGCAGATGGATGAAGGCCTAATTGATGCATCCAAAGATGTCGTTCGTCGTCGATCGATGTGTGCATCGGTCTGTGCCTCAGGTGGCAGCACCGGTGTCTGCTTCTGCTCCCGGCTTCTCATTCTCCCCTATGCCGTACCAGGCCCCTCACCTCCGCCCGCCAGCCTTCACATATCACCACACTGCTGCCATGCCGCACCCGCCGTCGGCACCGCCTCCTGCAGTGGTCCTCCCCGCCCCATCCCCAGCCGCAGCACATGTGAGAGTGATGCCAAACCAAGTACCACTGCAGTACCCGACGCATCACGGCATCCCCGGGCCGGGGGGGCACCCGATGCCGCCGCCGGGCAACACAGCTGGGCGGACCACCAGAGGGGCGTGCCCGTGGGCGACGCATGGCAGAATTGGACAGGGGGACGTGCAGTGACAGGGGTGAGGCGACTCACTCACTGACTGACTGACTGACTGACTGATCGGGTGGGGGGTGGAGAGAAAGAGGCTATACGTAGACACTCATGTTGGTAGCTATGACAGGGTGAATTGGATGGATGGATGGACTCATGAGTCAGAATTGGACCTTCCTCGCATAGATTGACTGACTCATTGACTGACTGACTGACTGCCTGGCTGATCGAGTTGCCAGCACCGCACGCAGGCTGACTGACTGGGTGGTTGGGTGGGGTCTCCACCAGCATGAATGTCTGTCTACGTCGGTTCACAGGGATGTAATGGCTATTACATACTTGTGTGAACCGACGTAGACAGACAATCATGCTGGTGGAGATGGGGTTGTGCATAGATGGATGGATGGATGGATGGGGGAGGGTGCGGGATCGAGCACCTGGCCGTGGCGGGCGGCCATTATATTTACTAATCGAAATTTACGAGATGGAGGAGAATCCTCCTGGGCAGCAGGAGAACACCAACGAGGACACCGACCGCATCCAGCCCGCCAACGCCGACCAGGACGCACCAACGATGGCCGCCGCGCCATCCCGGAGTTCTTCGCCGCGCGAGCGCGAATACTAGCAGCAGGAGGTAGAGGGCAGTGCGCGGGTGGTCCAGCTGGGCGAGGAGGATGCTGCGTCGGCTTCGGGGTCTGGTGCCGCGCAGGTGTTCGATATGCACGCCGACGGGGAGCACAAGTTCAACCTAGACGGTAGGGTGGCCACAGAAAGGCAGGAGGAGGGTTTCTATGGACATATTTTCCATCTTTGTGGGTGCGCATGGGTGTGCAGCCGACACCACAGGTGCCCGATGCCTCACATCGCAGCAGTTCAAGGACTTCTTCAACAAGAAGGGTACGGAGGGAGGATGCTACCGACACGCCACACGCCTCCATAACTGCACCACACCGCACTCATCCTTCATCCACTTGTGTGTATGGGTGCGGTGCAGTGGCGGGGTTCACCTCCGAGACCTGGAGAAGTTCTACCAGCTCATGCATATCAAGGCCGCGGAGCAGCCGGAGGGCGCTGCTGCCGCTGCCGCTGCTGCTGGTGCGTCGGGCGACGGTGTGGACTTCGAGGAGTTCGTGAACTTCTTCGCGCCGCCGGCGGACAGCAACGGCAACAACCCCGTGCGCAGCGTGTCCGACAACATGAAGACACTCAAGGAGGAGATGAACAGTAAGCACCCCAGCCCACCCCATCCCCACAACAACACAACATACCACACCGCACCGCACCACCCTCCTCTCTCCCCCCCTGTTGTTTTCTTCCTTTGCAGAGTTCGTGGCTCAGTCGCAGTCCATCCTCGGCACCACCGGTGCGACCGCGACGGCCACCGAGGCCCAGAAGGACCAGGAGGGCCAGGAGGGCGGCAACAAGGAGATCGTGGAGGACGGCGACCAGCGGCAACAGCAGATGGAGGAGGGACAGGGGCATGGTGAGGGCGAAGGTGAGGAGGGCGATAGCAGTGGTGACGGTACAGTAACTGCCGCGGCTGGGGGCGACGGTATCGAGGGTGGCGAGGGGGGAGCTGGTGTGGGCGACGGCGAGGAGGGTAACGAGGCTGAGGGTGAGAGGGGCGACCCGGCCATGATTCTGCGCAAGAAACTGTTCCTGCACCGCGTCTACGCACTGTAAGCCACACGACACACACACACACACACACAAGAGAAGGGCTAGGGATGGGTGTGGGGGATGAGGGGAAGGACCATCCATCTGTGTGTGTGTGTTGATGTGTGGCATGTGTGCAGGATGATGATAGAACGGTTTGAGGAGGCCGTCACCCAGCTGCGTGGCGTCAACTTCGAGCTCACCAACCACACCAGGAAGATAGGTATCCAGCTGCCCACCCCCCCCCCCCCCCCCCCCCCC